CTCTATGAGTAACTCTATGAGTATTCTAAGGAAGATAGAGAAGGGCTGGGTCCGAAGGCAGTGGTTGGTGGCTAATAGAAGATACATTTACAGTCGCAGCCCAGTTTAAGTCTACACACTTGTCTCCTCCGAATCAGCTCTGACCAAGCCTTTTGTTCACTTTCAGCGTCCATCTCTGACACGTTGTAACTCGTGTTACTAGTAGGGCGTAGGGCTTAGCCCAGCTCAGTCGACACAGGTTATTCTGTGGTCAAACTGCCTGATCTCGTTCATATGTGAAGATTCACTATCATCACAACTACTCATCCGGTAGCCGAACTGGCCTCTGCCAGCAGGTGTTATCATATATTCATTGAATTGTAAAGCAACTGTCTCTGGTCTTCAGAAGAAAAAAAAATAGTGCCAGCATGCAATCGAAGAGATTAATGTAGCACAATAATTCAAATAAATTAATGTAACACATTATTGGGACATGAAAAGATAAGAAATGCAGGTAATATGCAGAGTTAACAATAAACTATTTATGGCAAATTATCTGTTGATCAACGAAATAATTAATTCGTAAAATAGTTAACTTTATACTGCTTAGTTCATTTGGTTAGTTTTTTTTTTTTTTTTTTTTTCACGATAATAACATTGTACGTTACACGTGCAATTCAAAAATATCTATGAAACCATTTAGGCTGCTGATGTGACCTAAGTTTTAAAAAGATAATGCTGATATGTGGCACATAATGTTAGTACTGTATTTCTGTGAGTTATGAGTTGAAATCAACATTCCCCTAAGCGTTCCGTTTCCATCTTCAAGAGCAAATGCATAGTTTTAATTCCAGTGTGTCTGTACATTTTCCTGGGAGAAAGGCTTTTCACAACATCCCATATGTCTGACGGACTTTCTACCCCACCAGGACATCACACAAGCGATAAACACCCGATGACACAATGTGCCACCATATGGGTGAGGATCACCGTAGAGAGGTCCCAGAAACCGCGTTCAGCCTTTAGGCCATATTTATGGCCAGGCTATATTGCGGCCCCTGGCAAGAGCCAGAGTAGGGCTTTAAATAAAGAAAAATTTCGTCCTAAAAAGGACGCAAAAACAAATAATCTTCCATATTGTCTATAGACCAATCAACGTTCGGTGGATGCAGTTTTCAGTATCACACCAGCCACATTTTCTTCCGAGATAATTTCATGTAATTCATTTTTGGCTAAGTCCAGATCGATCTTTAAATCCGCCTCCATTGAAGATTAGACTCCCTGATCACTTAGCCGGTATGCAGGCGCACATGTTTTAGTATTGCCCTGCTGGTAAGAAACAAAACAACAACGACAACAAACACTAAATGCCGTTATCCCGTAGAATCAGAGAACAGGGGAAATAAAAACTTCCAAAGATTAACTTCTTCGTTTCCAGGCAGTGTTTTTTTTTTTTTTTTTTTTCTAGTTATTAACTCTACACCTCTTACTGCTAACACTCCTTCTGCCATTCAAACTATTACTATAACTCCAGCATCAAACATTTATTACATAGTAGTGAAAACATCACATGGCAGAGTAGCTGGTGTATACAATTGACAGTGAAATCACTGGTGCCAAGTACATAAAGAATTTAGAGACGCGTCCTTACCCATATAGAACTGAGGATGCGCCTGTTTGGTGTAGCTGTTTCTGGTGCCCTAATTATAAGTTCTTTGGAAGTTGCCTGGGGTATCTGTAAGGTGACCATACGTCCCGATTTCACCGGGGCAGTCCCGTTTTGTTTTCGGTGTTTCTCGGCCGTCCCGTCGGTACTCCAGACAAAAAATCGTAAATTGTCCTGTGCTGTATAAATCTACAAATAAACTTGAATGTCGAATTAAGAATCGACATCACAGCACTCAGACACTCTCAAAAGCACTCTGTCCCCCATCTTCAACAGCAAGCGAAAAGTTCCAATTCCGATGGCATCAGTAACTGTCTCGCTATCCATCTCGCCTTTCCATTGAGTGTTGAGCGTCAGTCAGACCCCTCTGTTAACTCTACACAGCGCCATTCTCCGCAGACCGTAATAATCTATTTGTGCCTCCGCACTGTTCACTCGCTTCCAAAGGGCCCTCAAAATATTCACCTTGTCAAACATCAGTTCACCACATAGTGGTGCAGAACCGGCCAGTCTATCTGCCTGCTCGTTTACCAACACACCTTTATGATTTTGAGAAAATATCTAAAGGACGCTAACTGCCCGGAACCTTGTCAGCGATGCTTGTCATTTTTCACAGAGCATGCCTGTCTCCCCCATTCTCAACATACTCTGTGAGTCAGTTACAATTACAAAATGTGTGTACAGCTAATTCTCAAACAAGCATAAGGAGCAGTGATTGCCTCCACCTCCATTCTCAAACTAAACACTGTGATATTATCATATGCAAGACTATGTTGCACTAAGCGACGTCCATTCGCGATGAACCCTCTATGCACTTCGTCTGCCTCTCATAAGAGAGCCATCTGTATAGATAATCCCATCACATGGGCCTAAATTGTATTGAATCATTTGTTGAACTTCTGATTCTGCAGCACCAGCTGGCCAGTCACTGCACTCATGACCTAAAGTGATTAAAACGCTACACAAACATTCTTGCTTGAACACTTTGACGCACTACTCTACTCGCTGAGATGTATCATGCCTGCACATATCTAGTTGTGTCTTTAGCCTGCGTCGTAATAATTCACTTTTTCTTGAATAACCTCGAGAAAAGAACATACACAAAAAGTAGTTTAAAATTTTTAACTTAACAGTAAAAACAGATGCAAACCGAAAGGGAAAATATATAGATTTAAAATATAAACTACATCGGTAGAACCAATGACATTATTGTGTCATCCCTATATGGAAAGCATTTTTAGTTGTTTTGAAGCCACACCCTGGCTTTCGTCAGGGCCCTAAATATTGCTGGGCCTACCTGCTGAACTGGATTTCCGGGTCATCTCATCCGCATGGTGGCACTTTGTGTCACCGGCTGTTTATCGCTTGTGTTATGTCCTGGTGGGGTACAACTTACTTAAATACCTACCAATAAAATCAAGGCCTGCAATACAACCAGAGAAAAAAATTGTAATATTAATTAATTAGTATTTCTTATACAGTGAATGTACCTATACAATCTTATGTTCTTAATATGTATCAGTTTCTTAACGATTAATTATAATATTAATCATAATACATTCAAGAAGACAAAATTCTGGGTAGAAAAGAGGGGGCGGGGGCTGACTTGCTTGGGATGTCCCATTTTCAGCTCAAGATATTATAAGTAGGTATCTTGGAGGCTGAATGGGAAACCTGGTATCTGTCTTGTTGGGCTGACGTCCAGAATGAAATCTGTTCTTTTTAAATAGCAGAATAGCAAGGTAAATCTTTAGATAGCCGCTCGGAGGGGACAAACGGATTGATCGATTAAAGCAAGGAGATTCTAGTTCATCCTGTCAATAGACGACATCAGTATACCAAAGAAGGTGTTTTTTCTTATGATGGTTCTTCACATGACTCCTCCGTTTGCGGACTGGATGTTGCGATTACTATTTTTTTGTTTTATTCCTTGATAAAAATCTCTCGTTGAAACGTTCGGCTGCGTAAGTGCGTGTATTTATGTTTCCGTTTCCTCCGTTGAGCTTCATAATCATCGTTTTTGCTTCGCGAAAATGGAGGACGACACTGTGATGAAGATGATAAAGATGATAAATATGTTTATTATAACGCTTATCAGATGAGACCAACAGTAATACTAGCTCACAACATCACAGCACTTGGGCACGACAACATTCGTCTCCATCCAGTCTTTTGCGCCATGAGTAGACCAGACCCACTCATGCCCCCCACCACTCCCCCCCCCCGCCACCACTCCCCCCCCCCACCCACCCCCACCAAAAAAAAGTGGTGCAGGGATAATCCTAGTTCCCCGAAGCAAGACGGATGACAACGACAGGGTGCGGTTTAGAACATAATTTGCACATAACAAATCTGTCCCTCGCGTGGTTGTGACAAATTAATCCATCTTTAAATCTGGTCCGCAGACATAACCTGTAAAGGGCTCAGAGTCCAAGGACGAGTAGAATACAAGATTTGCAATTGTTTACACCCGGGGGAAAGGGTGAGGGGGTAGTGAACCAGACATGCATTGATTTGAATTTCCGCAGTTTCACAGGCAGGCGTTCTTGTCGTCTGCAACTGACATTTTTTTTTTATTCTGTACATTCTGTGAAACCTAAACCCGGGTTGATGGTGTGTGCTTTTACTAGGCAATTTCTTTTTAAACTTTCAGTATTATTTAATTCCCGTCCTTTTTAGGATGAAATTTTTCGTTTTTTGAAGCCCTACTCTGGCTCTTGCCAAGGGCCGCAATATTGCCCTGCCATAAATATGGTCTAATAGCTGAACGCGGTTTCTGGGACCTCTCCACTGTGATCCTCATCCACATGGTGGCACATTGTGTCATCGGGTGTTTATCGCTTGTGTGATGTCCCAGTGTGGTAGAAAGTCAGTCAGTCAACTTTCAGTAGTTAGCTTTCGTTTCTCAACGGTTCTATGTTCATACCATTGTCATACCAACAAACAGTGATGGTCGAAACTTTAGCAACCCATATGGGAAAGATGTTATTTAATTAAACACATTTTATTCACTTTTAAAACCGTAAATTACTGATTATTTTCTTAACTACTAATTCTTTTTTCAAAATATATAATGCGGATATTTTTATGATGGAGAGATGAGAACTCCTCTATGTAACGGCAGAGCCATATTTCGTGTTTTAAAGTTCACGAAGCTATAAAAACCATGCCCAGACAAGACCTCTTCGCATTATAAGAAGCAGATCCCTTTTTTTATGCGTTTTTTTTTTACAAAATGCTTTACTTTGTTGAGCGAAGGAAATTGTTGGAAGCTCTCTGAAAACATTGACCTTGAGACAGATTGCTGAGATCGCCAAATTGAGTTTTACCAGACTTTCCCATTAACTGCTTTCAGGATCCCAGTAACCCTAGAACAACGGACAGAAAACAGACACAGAGTTCAGAGAAAGAGAAGCCGTCCCCACAGAAGCCAGAGGTGATTAGCAAGTGTTTTTGTCTTATACATTTTTACTTTAAAATAATCTGTTCAAACCAGGCTGACAGGCACAGGTTTACACTAGCGGACCTCAACCTTCCTAACGCCGCGACCCTTTTATACAGTTCCTCATGTTGTGGCGACCCCCCAACCATACAATTATTTTTCGTTGCTACTTCGTAATTTAAACAGTATGTGTTTTATGATGATTCTGGGCGACCCCTGTGAAATGGTCCTTCGACCCAAAAAGGGTCGAGACCCATTGGTTGAGAACGGCTGGTTTATGTATTAAAAACATCTAAGCATATTCAAGAGAATAGCCAAACCTGCTTCTGCAAAGGATAATTTTTTTTTTTTATCGAAACATTTACCAAAAATATTTTAGAATGTGTTGAACCCGTATGTCCACTGTTGAATTCTCACTGGCAATATGGAATTTGTCACTGTTCTGAAATTCTCCTTTGATCTGTTGGAACAATAAATGGGCTGCTGTGTCAGTGAAAGGGATCCTATGCTGTAAACCAAACCAACGTTAAAATATTTGCTGTAATTTAACCGGACTACTATTTATTTATTTATTTAAAAACTTTAATCTAATGCATTCTGACTGACTGACTTTCTACCCCACCAGGACATCACACAAGCGATAAACACCCGATGACACAATGTGCCACCATGTGGATGAGGATCACCGTGGAGAGGTCCCAGAAACCGCGTTCAGCCAATTTGCCATATTTATGGTCAGGCTATATTGCGGCCCCTGGCAAGAGCCAGGGTGGGGCTTCAAATAACGAAAAATTCCAACCTAAAAAAGACGGCAAATGGATAATGAATGCATTCTCTCCCTCTTTGCTTCTCTATGTGTTTGAAAGTGTGTACATATATAGGTGTACACACTTCTGTGTTCATATTGGTATAATTTTCACACACTAAATATTTTATGAAGTATTATTTTTCCTCCGACAGGATGTCCACTTCTCTAAAGCGTTCGAACTGTATGCTGGACAGATCACAATTCCTACATCAGAAGAGATTGCTAATTCAAAGAATGCATATATCGCCAGATGTACGGTGGTAGAAGGAGAGGTAACTCTTGAATCATTGTAATGTAAACTTTTCCAGTACCAGTGAATTTACCATGTTTCTGTGTAATTCTAAATTGGTACAAATTGCTTAACATCTTCTGACCTTATGTTTTCTGGGTCTGAATCGTTTCTACTTTAGTCATTGCTGTAATTGCTTTTGACCCAGAATTGTATTTTGTAATTTCTTCATACTAAAACATTTTATACTAATATGTGTGTGTGTGTGTGTGCGTGCGCGCACGCGCCTGTGTGCTTGTGTATGTGTGGCACACACAAGTTTTTATGTATGTGCATGTGCATGCACGCGAATACAGAACTTGAGAGAGAACAATTATGCATCAATAACAAAACTGTTGGTATAAATAACTCATCATTTATTCTTTAGCCCTTGAATATTGAAGATCTGGCCAAAGATGGACGATTTGGAGCTGGACCAGTAAGTGCTATTTTTCTGGGTTATTTTGTAAATTTTATTTTATTTCATTTGTGCTAATTTAACATAAGTAAACAGACTGCAGTCCAAGCAAAACCATTAGCATACACATTTATTAACTGCATAAGGCAGCCATAAGAAGTGCCAACACAGACTGTGTGGCACTAGAAATGCAGTTCATCTTTCATGGAAGTGGCAGTTATAGAGGAGCCGCTGTACGAACGGTTAGAATGCTGGGCTCTCAAGCGGGGGTCCCAGGTTCGAATCCTCGATAAGGCTGGGGATTTTTTCTGTCAGGGGCAAAATAAAATCCTGAATTGAACAGTCGTCTTAGCGACAGCACTAACCAGACAGCCATAAATCCGTAAGCTCAAAGCCCCCCCCCCCCCCCCCCCTTTTGCACCGCAAAAGTTGTATAATAAAGGCAGTGATTGGCAGTTTTTGGCAGTTATAAGAGTTCAGTAGTTGCACATGCAATTAATCGCATCTGACACCACCAATTGTCTGGCAACAGGCCATTCACCATTTTCTGAAGCTGCAATTCACAATGCAAACAATGCTGGGCACAGTTGAAAAGCGTTCCAAATGAAATATGTAGCCCACAGTGTAACCCCATACATTCAGTTCAGTAGCTGGGTGACAGAACTATATCTTTTTAGTCTACATATGCAGTTGCTAACTATTGTTAGATACAGAGACTTGCTAGACTAAAAAAAGTATGTAAGCCTATCCACCATTTTGACCAAGAAAATGCTGTGGTCTTTAATTCATATAACATTGTCTGTTTCTTATTTTTGGTTGGGTCACTCTGAGAGCCTGGTAAAAAATGTGCCTGTATACAAATGTTGTCTCTATCTGTGCCTAGGGTTATGAATGCAATGTTATATTTCTGAAATGCTGGGTTCAGTTAAGGATTTTGCAACAAATTGTCTTGCACTGATTTCAACAATGTTGCAAGCATCAACCATTTAGAAAGCAATGGCTAACTACTAAACATAAAGTGATTAATTTACATTACCAAAAACAGTCAACAAATGTTGGGTTTGGTATGTGATGATGGCAAAGGATATGTATCTAACATTTGCAGTTGACAATTTTATGCAGATTCAAAACTGTGACCTCCTCGTGTAAGTTTTCAGGGCCTCATTGTGAGGGTAAAAAAAAAAAAAAAGAATAGACCCACTGCTTCTCTAACAGTCATTTTGTAAAAGTTACCTTATTAGGGTAACTTGCTTCAAAGTCGCAGTGCATCTGCCTGAGAGAGGAGAAACAGTAGTCTGCATACAGAGAAGCCAGATCTGTAAAATGGATGTGCATTCAAAACTCAGGTTTTCTAGAACAAAACTAAAGTCCAGAAGTGGATGAACAACCAGAAATTTTTCTGGGAGTTTACGGCTGTGAACATGAAGAAGAAAAAACATGTGACCACAGAGCCGGTTTACATGTTAGTCTTAGTCGAGGTTTCAACATAATGTGACAGTACTGATTACAGTCACGTATATTTCAAGAAGGAAATAGAAGGAAAGAAACACACGAAGGAATAAAGAGGTATAGAGTCGCTTGAGATAAAGAGAGTCGCTAGTCTAACAACCCTGAGGGCATTGACTCAAGAGTCGACAAAGACGTGGGTGCATGCCAAGCTTGTTCATGAACTGTTGCAGGCCAATATACTCGTAAATTAACAGAGGGAAGACAACGAACAAAGGCAACGGCACAAGATTTCCTGGGGATTTTCCATCCAAATATGCAAAGTGGCTTGGAATACCATCTTTGGCGGGAAAGAGAAAGGTTCATGAACCTAAGAACATAAGGTTCGTGAACTCAGGTACAAAGGAGAGAGATATAACCAAGTGGCGTCAGGGGTATATACACTACCAGCGAGTAGCCAGGGAGACACTTGCACTGAGATCTCCGCCAACGAAGGATGCTGTGGGCATTCTGATCATGTCGCTACGATGGAGCTAAGTCCATACTTCTGTTGTGTGAATTGCCAGATAATGCACGAAATATTGCTTCATGTTATGTGACATGGCAGTTTCTGTCATGGTGTGCCGGGTTGGCTAAATAGGCTAGCTGGTCTTTGGACTGCAATCAGCTATAGTTAGATGGTATCTAGACTGCAATCAGCAGTATGGCTAGATGGTAGTCGGTATTTGGCATTAGAGTAGATGGCTAGATTGTAGTTGTTATTTGGCTTATTATTTGTAGAGCAATGAAGGGTATTCTAGGCGTCATTTGCTAGTTTATCGTTGAGTGGATTCTGCTGTCAGTTGCTGAGTTTTATAGCGTGAGGACGTTCTGTTTATAACATAATATAACATCTGTCGGTTGTGTAACATGAGATAGACGACTTTGTAATGCTGTTTCTTAATAAACATGATTGTTAGTTGTTATTCTTTTATTCCATCGTTAGTTTGTTGAGTATAGGAGTGGTACTAATATTGTTAGTCTCTGTAGTCTTTATACCACCACCACTTTACTATATATCTACTCTCTCCTTCATAAGACCTCCACTGACTATTACCTGATCGTTTGGGGTGTAGACTTATTACTACACTCTCCACACAGGAGAACCTATTGTCCTCTTATACATCCTTTAACTATTATTTCTTCTCGTCTGTCTCTCTCTACTTTTATATCTTCTCTTCTTCTTCTATCCCCTCTTTAAAATGTACACACCCCCCACACTGTGACATTTTTGGCGCTGCGAACAGGATTCCTTTTGAATGTGTATACCTCTCAGTCTATGGTAGATGGTGCTATCCATAGTGTGGTATATAATTCTTAGTGGCCGTTCAGTGTTTTGGTCAGTTGGTAAGGTTTGAATTCCATCAGTTAGGAGTTGTTCTATCATTCACGTTCTTAAACAGAGTTGTTTAGTGGATGTATTGTTTCCAGTTGTTGGTAGAGAAGTAGCCAGTAGATCTCTTTGAGGTGTGAAGTTTGGATTTAGAATTAGGAAGTCAACCCGGTGCGAAAAATTCAGTTGAACCTCCTAAGCAAGATGGACGAGAGCACTCGTGTGAGCAGTAACATGCACCATGAAGGCAGTTCCCTGACCTCGGCGGTGGAAGGATCCTGTTTGTCAAACAAACCAGGGTGTACGCACATCGTTATGTTGCCAGAGCGCGTAAACATAACGCACTTTGAGGGGACATCGGATCCCACGGTCACAGATGAATTCGTTCGTCGAGTCAAGTCCGTGTTCAGAAATGAACGGATGACTCCGGCAGATCAGATTGACCTGGTGCTTGATCATGTCACATCGAGTGTCAAGCAAGAGCTGAAGTTGCATCAAGCAGAGAATGCAAACGATATGCTAGATGTCATACAGCAAGTTTATGGTGAGCGTCGAAGCATCGTGGCACTAGCGTCTGCATTTTTCGCCCTACGGCACGGTGAGAATGAGACTCTCCGTAGTTTTTCTCATCGTATCCATGAAGCGTTTCAAGCGATTATCAGTGCGCAAAAGAAGGTGAAAATGTCCCCATGGGATACGTCGATCTTGAGAGATCAATTCGTCGTACAACTGCGAGATACAATTTGCAGAAAGTTAGCGCAAGAGAGAATTCACCAAGATCTTAGTGTGACTTTTCTGTCCATCAGAAATTTTGCTATCAGATGGCTGGGTGATGAAGATTTCTTTTCTAACAATGGGGTTTTGACTAACGAGTCAGTGATGCAGGTGGATGTTGTGAGTTCTTCAGTGTCGTCGAGTGAGAAGCGTGAAGTGTCCGTTTTGAGGGATGAAGTGAAGCATTTGAAACAACGAGTAGCAGCTTTGTTACAGCCTCCAGTACAGCGTAAACGATGTTTCCTTTGCCAGTCATCATCACATCTAATGAGTGCCTGTCGACAGAGAACAACTGTCGGAGATGTTCGGCGCCCTATTAACGTGCAGAGACGAGAAGCGTCTAACTACAGCAAGAACAACGAAACTGGGCAAGCGTGGCGTAAGAGGCCACAGGGCTCATGTCCAGTTGTACTATCTGCAGGGTTGAAATACCCTGCCAGTGCGAATTCAGTCGAGAAACCCGATTATAGACAGATTCGCAGAGAAGGTGAAATGAGGTCAAAAAGGAGGAGGCGTGGCAGGAGAAGAAGACAGTGTGTGTCTTCCAGTCAAGGTTCTCCTGCTCAAAAACAGAGCAGTGACAATTCGACAGCTATAAATCAGCTTTCCGCTGGTGTATCTAGCACTGAACAGTTGCCGAGCAAAACTCAGCACAATGAAAATTCTGCCAGTTTGAACCAGTCCTGCTCCGCGTTACCTAGTGAAGTGCAGTTGACTACAGAGACTGTTGAAAGTTATTCCAGATTCAAAATAGGCGAGAAAGTACAGTTGAAACTCGAACCAGAAGAGGGGGACATGAATGACTATTGGTCTGATGATGTGTATGTTGTCCTGCGCCTTCCAAATGCTACAAGACCACAATACGTATTGACCAGCAAGGAACATAAGAAATTGCGCCTCATAGCCAGAGAGAAAGAGTTGAGGACATGTCTTGTGAACTGTTGACCCAGTTAATAGTGGACACAAAGAAATCCGCTGGTCACATGGTGCAGTAACATTTGGTGTGAATATAATGTGGTAGTGTTCAGAGTTTGTTATAGGTGACGTGAAGATCCTGCAGCCACAGGTCCAGTCCAACAGAAGACGGCTGATTATATGTTGTGTGGTGAAACAATTGTTTCTGTTGATGAGTTTTGTACTCAGAGCTGTATTTGTTACGCGTGTTGTTGTCTGGATGTTTTGGTTCGTCAGAACAGGCGACAAGCACAGAGGAAGTGATGACTAGCGTCCCGCTACGGAATGTCCAGTGGGCAAAGACGATTTGGATAGGTGTTTTGTCTTTTGTTGCGAAACATGTGTTGCTGTTTTTGATGAGTTTGTAGAAATGTGTTCGTGACATTTGTTGTTATGATGATGTTGTATTTGTGCAGTTTGTTACATATACTGTAACAGGTGGCAACTTGGATCCTACAGTTGCATATCAAGCACA